ATAGTGCAAACGCAGCCATTGACAACTCGTAAACACAAATAGTGTCTGTGTTCCAATAAAGCTCTACAAACACAGGCAGGATTTGTTTGGCCCACAGGCTGTAGTTTGAGGACCTCTGATCTAGGAAGTGCCTCTGAAACATGAATGTACACACAAATCACCTGGGGATCTTGTTAAAACACAGTCTCTGATTCAATAGGTCTGGAGTAGCACCTATAATCTGCATTTCTAACAACCTCCAGGTGATGCTTGTGCCAGTGGTTTGAGGAGCAAGAAATCTTGATGACTTCTGTGATAGGCACATCTAACTCAGCTGCCAACCCAGACCTCTTCTCCCCTGCTGTCTTCAATATAGAGGTGTAAAAGCCAAATAAGGGCTTTCTCATCTTCCCTTGCAGCCAGGTGGTAAAGAGACCAGGTAAACCCGTTCTCATCAATATAATGAAAGCAAGATACAAGAGGTTCACTACTGCACCCTTCTCCCCTTCCTGACTTCTCAATGATTTTGGAATAAAGCAAAAGGAGTGGCATTTGAGGGCCTGTATTTCACCCTTATTATCTTAAAGGCTAAATTAACAGAGAGCACGGTTTATTATGAAACAGACCTGTTCAATGAATCACAAGAGAAGGCAGATCTACCCATTCCAGGTTGACTGGGATAGGTCCTCCCATCTGGACAGAGAGATGGGTAACTTATGGCCCAAAAGAGCAGAGGAGAACTGGTACCTGCAGGCAGGCTCTCTTCTAGAGGAAAACTCAATTGCTGAGCTTGGCAGGCTCAGTTTATTCTGCCCAAATTTATTAGCCAGCTACATCCTTCCACCGCCCCTAAGACAGAGTAAATAAAGGAGTAGAGCAAAACTGGAGGTGAAGCACAAGGAAGGAGCCATCATGAGCGGGACAGCCATATCACCACCCCACAAAGATCTCTAGCTTTTAGTTTCTTAACATATTGGACTTAAATTATCAGACTTCTGGTCAAGAGGAGGTTTGCAGTCTGATAAAGAGTCTCACACTCATGTTCATGAGATTGCAACACTGCTTTTTTGCCTTTTGTATTTTCCTGGGAACACAAGTGAGCAATTTTCATTTTCCCCAACAAGGGTCTGAAAGGTGTCAGAAGAATACATTAATTAAGCCTCAAGGTTATTCTGAACCCAAGGCCCAAAATTCATTCATCTATATTATTTATTTCCCAAATTATATCGAGCATACTTTCCATATAACTAATCAGAGGATGTGAATGAATGATATCAAATATTTAATGAGCATCCATCTACTTTGTCCCAGGTATTGTTCTGAATGCTAAAGATGCAACAGTGAACCAAAAACGTGAACATTTCTGCCCTCATGCAGTTCATATTCCAATGGGGACAGATGGACAAGAAACAATCATCATAACAAATAAGTGATAGTTTTGAAGGTGATAAGCACCATGGAAAAGAGAAAAAGTAGAGCAGGAAGGTGGGATAAGGAGCACTGGGAGGAAGAGAGCATGTTGCACTTATAAGAGGGGGTGAGGATAGGTCTCTTCAGAAAGGGTACCTTAAGCAATGACTTGAGGTGAAGAGTTATCAACGTAGATAATTAGAGAAATGTATCCCATGCACAGGCACAATCACTGCAAAATCCCTAAAGTACACGTGGGCTTGGTCTGTTCAATGAAGAATAGATTGGCCAGAGTGGAGTGAACAAAAGGGTAGGGAGATCAGGTAAGTAATGCAGGGCAGATAAAAAGGGGACTGTAACAGGCCACTCTTGCCTTGCTATAAAGAAATACCTGAGACTGGGTAATTTATAAGAAAAAAGGTTTAATTGGCTCACAGCTCCGTAGGCTCTATAGGAAGCATAGCACCAGCATCTGCTTTTGGGGAGGCCTCAGGAAGCTTTTACTCATGGCAGAAGGTGAAGTGGGAGCACGCACATCACGTGGCCAGAGTGGAAGCAAGGGGTTGGGGAGATGCCACACACTTTTAAACGCTCAGATCTCATGAGAACTCACTCACTATTGCAAAGACGGCACCAAGCCATGAAAGATCTGACCGCGTGACCCAAACGCCTCCCACCAGGGCCCACCTCCAGCATTGGGGACTACAATTCAACATGAGATTTGGACAGGGACAAATATCCAAACTACATCATGGACGTTCTAGAGGAATGGTTTTATGACCAGGTGTCAACAGTGCAGTAGGTGAGAAGGCTTCCTTTTCCCCCAGTTTCCAGCCTAGGGCTACAGTTTCACCCTTGAGAGGCGCAAGGCTCCAGTGTTTCTCATGCCCTTCCAGCACCATATTGCAGAACATCTATTCTGAGTAGGTATGGATAAAAGGTCTAAGGACCCCTTTCCCTACTGAACACCTATTGTATGCTGGAAGCCCTAGCCTAGATGTTGCAGGCTGAGCATACTGAGGCTCCAATCATCTTGGCCCCTGCCCATTCATCAAGGAGAGATTTCATGCTTGTAGAGAAAGACTGAGAAGAGGTTACCACTCCTTCCAATACTTGCTTGCAGAAGGGAGAAACAGTCCACTGTTCCCACTCCAGGTCCTGTGCAGTGACGCAGATGTTCTTCCCAGGGGAAGTGATAGATCATAGGGATGAAGAACTCTCCAACACTGTCTGAGGAGACTGATGCTTTTTGGAACTGAATGTGAAAAATTCCATGCCCAAGGGTGTTATAGAAAATAAGGAGTTGTTGGTGAAGGGTAATCGAGAGGGTGCTGGTATCTCCATGGTTATGGTAGCAACAGTATCAGAAAAATGACAGAGTGTTTGGAATTTTAACAGAAAAAAAAAAGCAGCATGAAAGATAGCCAAAAAGGACCCTCTTTGGATCATAGCAATCCCTGAGAATCAAGAAGATTGTGCACATGCATTAGTCTGCATGCTCAGGAGCAATCAAACTGGAGATGGGCCAGACTTGTAAGCACTCCCCAAGCAACACACAGATTCATCAACAAAGAACATAGGCCTTACAGACACAAGGAGTTTAAGCGTAACCTCTGATAAAACACTGGCTAAACAATAAGCTACTATGACCCAGGGGACCTCTTAGAAAACTGGGCTTAAAAATAAAACCACACACATCCCCGGGAGTCTGGAAAAATACATGTAAGCCCAGGACTACGCCCTTTCAGGAGTGATTGGAAAAAGAACCTCTAAGCTAGTACCTGGCTGAATGTGGGGCCAAAACAAACTCCCTGGACTATGACAGCAACCTCTTGGCCCCCACACACAGCCCCCCAAAAAGAGAGAGGAGATAAGAATACATCAGCCTAAAGTAATATAAGCACAACATCTGACCAATAAGCATCATATGTGGATTCAAGGGTGATTCCTAGGTAGCCAGACCAAAAAACAAAAACGTGAAAAACAAATCAGAACAGAAACATCAGAGGCTGCACAAAGCAAGGAAAATAGACTTAACAAAGTTAACTCAGCAAAGTTACCAAATATATTGCCAAGCAAACAACAACAGTAACATCAACCCCACAGCAAGGAGGAAAGGAAATTAGTATCCAGAGCTGCTACAACATATTTTCTAAAGTGTTCATTTTTCAACAAAAAATTATGAGCTATGCCAAGAAACAGAAAAGCATGACTTTGACCTTATACCTTGGGAAGAAAGCAGCAAAAAATAGAAATTACCTTTTAGAAAACCCAGTCTTTGTGTTTTAGCAAACAAAGACTTCAAAGTAGCTATTATAAATATATTCAAACAACTAAAGAAGGCTATATTTAAAGAACTAAAGAAGTTATGATTGAAAAAAAATCTCATTAAATTGAAAATATCAATTAAAATCAGAAATTTTTAAAGAACCAAATAGAAATTATAGAGGTAAAAATGATCAAAATGAAAAATTCACTAGAGGGGCTCAACAGTAGATTTGAGCTGACAAAATAATCAGTGAACTTAAAGGTAGATCAATAGACACTGTGTAAACTGGAAAAGAGAGAAAAAAGAATGAAGAAAAGTAAATAGAGACTCAGAAAAATGTAGTACACCATTAAGTATACCCATATATGTATAACAGGAGTCATGGGAGTACCAGAAGGAGAGTAAAGAGAAAAGAGAAGAAAATAAGGTTCAAAGAAATAATGGCTGAATACTTCCCAAATTTGCTGAAAGACATTAATATACACATCCAAAATGAACTACATGTAGGATAAACAGAAAGAGATACATACTCAGATACATCATAATCAAAATGTTGAAAACCAAACACAAAAGAAAAACTCAAAAACACTAAAAGAAAACCAACTCATCACATACAAAGACATTTCAATAAGATTAACAGCTTCTTTATCATTAGAAACAATGAAGGCAAGAAGGCAGTAGGATGACATACTCAAAGTCCTGGAAGTAAAAAAGAAAACAAAAAACAAAATGTAACCTGTCAACTAATAATTTTATATCTAGCAAAAATATCTTTTAAAAACAAAGGTAAAAGAAAGACATTCCCAGATGAACAAAAGCTGAAAGAGTTCCTGGATAACAGACCTGCATTATAAGAAACAATAAATTCTTTAGGCTAAGGCTAGTGACACTAGACAGTAATTCAAATCCATATGAAAAAACAAATTTCTAACAAAGGTAATTATATAGGTAATTATTAAAAGGCTGTATAATGACATATTTCTTCTTCTATTTTTAACTGATATATAAAGTGATCTCTAGTATATAATTATATTGTTGGGCCTGTAATTTATAGAAATGTAGTGTATTTGATGAAAACAACACAAAGGGGGCAGGAGGGACTAAAGATGGAGTAAAGAAATTAAACCAAATCATAATTGGGGTTCACAGGAAGAAATTTTTTTTAAATGGAAAATTAAAAAGTTAATATGATAAATTCTATGTTTACATATTTGTTTTTCTCTCAAACTTATGTAAAAGACACACATTAATTTTATTTATTTATTTTTAATTTAACTTAAGTTCAAGGGTACATGTGCAGGTTGGTTCGTTATATAGTTAAATTCATGTCACAGGGGTTTGTTGTACATATTATTTCATCACTCAGGTGTTAAGCCTAGTACCCATTAGTAATTTTTCCTTGTCCTGTCCTCCCCAACCCTCCACCCTCAGATAGGCCCCAGTGTCTGTTGTTTCCCTCTGTGTCCATGTGTTCTTACCATTTAGCTCCTACTTATAAGTGAGAACATGCAGTATTCGGTTTTCTGTTCCTGCATAACTTTGTTAAGGATAATGGCCTCCAGTTCCATCCATGATCCTGCAAAGGACATAATCTCATTTTTTTAAATGACTTCACAGTATTCCATGCTATATATGTAGCACATATAGTCTACCATTGATGGGCATTTAGGCTGATTTCTTGTCTTTATTATTGTAAATAGTGCTGCAATGAACACATATGTGCATGAAGACACATTTATACAAATTATTAATTATAGTAATATCTTTCTGGTTTTATAACATATATAGATATATACAATAATAATAACATTAAAAAGAGGAAAGAAATGGAACTATACAGGAGTAAAATTTCTGTATTTCATTGGTTATGTTACTAAAATTGAAAATCAATTTCATAAGTTAATCTGTATATTGTAAGACCTAGAGTAAGCACCATGATAATAATTTTTAAATGTAATTAATCATTGATGACATTAAAATGTCAGTCTTAAAAAAATATACCCTGAATATAAAAGAAAGCAATAAAGGAGGAACAGAGGAATAAAAATAAACATATAGAAAACAAAAGCAAAATTGCATATGTAAATGTAGCTACATTAATAATAACATTAAGTGTGATTAACTTAAACTATCAAGTCAAAAGGAAGAGACTGTGGGAAGGAAAAATTAGTATCAACCATTTGCCATCTACAAAAGACATACTTAACATTCAAAGACACAAAGAGGTTGAGAGTAAAAGGACAGAAAAGATATGTACGATGCAAACTGCAGCCAGAAGATAGCTAGAGTAGTATACTATCATCAGACAAAATAGACTTTAAAACAGAAATTGCTACTAGAGACAAAAAAAAAAAAGAAAGCTTGCAGTGATAAAAGCATCAAACCATCAGGAAGATAAAACAATTAAAAACATATATGTACCTAACAATAAAGTACAAAAATACATGAAGCAGCAGCTGACAGAAATAAAGGGAGAAACAGACAATTCCATAATGACTGTTAAAAACTTTAACATATGACTTTCAAAAATGGACAGGCCAACCAAAAGAAGATAAATAAGGAAAAAGAAGACCTACATGACACTATAAATCAAGTAGACCTAGCAGATAGCTATAAAATGCTACATCCAACAGTGGCAGAATACACATTTTTCTCAAACACATGAGACATTCTCTGGGATAGACTATATCCTATGTTATAAAAAATTTTTCAATAAAGTTAAAAAGATTGAAATCCAAACAAAATCTGTTTTTTAACTATAATGAAGTAATATTAGAAATCCATAACAGAAGAACAGTCGGGAAATTTGCAAATGTGGAAATTAAATAGCCTACTCCTAAAAAATGGGTCAAAAAAAATCACAAAGAAAATCAGAAAATACTTCCAGATGAACAAAAATGAAACTATGACATACCAAAACATATAAGATGCAGGTAGTGGTCACAGAAAAATTTGTAGTTACACAGTAAATGCCACTACTAAAACTCATCTCAAATCAATATCCTCGTCTTTTATTATAAGAAACACTCAACTAAGAGAAAATAACACCCAAAGCAAGGAGAAGGAAAAAAAGCCATGAAATTTATAGTGAAAACAAGTGGGAGAGATTACAGAAAAACAGAGAAAATCAAAGCGACAAAAAGGTGGTCTCTTGAAAGAGAACAAAATTGACAAATCATTACCTAGATTGACCAAAAAAAAAAAAACTCAAATTACAAAAATCAGACTGAAAGAGGAGATATCATAACTGACCTCACAGAAATGAAAAAGATTACAAGGGAAAATTAGAAACAGCTTTTTATATCCAAAAATTCCACAACCTTGATGAAATGGATATTTTCTAGAAAGTCACAGCATGCTAAAAACCAACTTAAGAAATTAAAAATCTGATAATTCAGAAGATTAAGTTAATAATTTAAAACATCCCACCAAGCAAATCTCAAAACAGATGACTCAATGGTGAATTCTACCAAATACTTAGGAAATAATTAATATAAAAATTGGAAAGGATTCAAGGTTGGAGAGGATCCGTTGAGGTCAGAAGTTCAAGACCAGCCTGGGCAACATAGCAAGACCCTGCCTCTATGAAAATTATTTTTTTATAATTAGCCAGGCATAGTATTGCATGCCTCTGATCTTAGCTATTTGGGTGGCTGAGGCAGGAGGATTGCTTGAACCCAGGAGTTTGAGGTTACAGTGATCTATGATCACACCACTGCATTCCAGCCTGAGTGACAGAGCAAGACCCATCTCTATAAAATGATAAAATAAATTTTAAAACTAAAAACCAAAGAAAAGAAAATATTTTCAAATTCATCCTATGAGGCCAGTTTTACTCTGATACGAAAATCATCACAAGAAAACTACAGACCAATATTTCTTATGAAAATTGATGCAAAAATCCTTAACAAAATGCAAACAAATCACATCCAGCAACATATGAAAAGAATTACAAGCCATAGTTGAGTGAAATGTATCTCAAGAAGGCAAGGTTGGCTTAACATCTGAAAATAAATTAATGCAACATTGTATTAATAGGATGAAGAACAAAACCACATGATTATATTTACAGACAGAGACAAAGCATTGAGAAAGCTCAACACTTTTTATAATAAAAGGAAAACACTCAACAAACTAGAAATAGAAGGAAACTTCCTCAACCTACTAAGCGGCATCTACAACAAACCCATAGCTCATAGCTAACATCATACTTAAAGATGAAAGACTGAATGCTTTCTCCCTAAGAGAAGATCAAGAACAGAATAAGAACACATCTGCCTTCAGAACTTCTGTTCAACATTGTTGTGTAAATTCTAGCCAGGACAATTAGGCAAGAAAAAGAAATAAAGACATCTAGATTGGACAGGGAAAGATAAAACTATATAGATAGTCTCGTATATTGAAAATGCTAAGTAACACACAGACACACACACACACACACACACACACACACACACCATTAATTACAACTAATAAATGAGTTCAGCAAAGTGAAGAAATACAAGACCAATATATAAAAATCAATGATATGGGCTTCTAATTTCTGGTCTGGCATGTAAGAAACTTGGAAGTAACCACTCCTTCCTAACAAAAAGCTAAAAACAAACTAAAAATATCAACAACTTTCCTTAGACTTCTGTAACAGAAGTGAGGTCACAGGGCAAATTGCTTCTCCCAAATTGAAAAGACAAACAGGGGAAAAGAATCACAACTTACCAGACCAGGAAACCACAAGCAAAAACCACCAAAGGAACCAGTGCCAAGAGAAAAATGACTGAACTAGAGTTGGAGGATTCCTGCTGTTAATGCGGACAAGTCTGAGAGTTGAAATTCCAGGGGGGCATACAGTAGTGGGGTGGAGGGCACACTCTTGTGACCAATAGCTTGACCTGATTCTCAAAGTGAATATTAGAGAAAATTTCTCTCCCACTTTCAGCAAGATGAGGGAAAAAGGTACCATTTTTAAACATGCCAAAACACGCTCTTTTTAGATACATTCTCAGGAGAAACTATTAACCAGAGTCTAACCTTTTGGGGTTTGATTCGAGCCTAACTGACTTACAGGAAGAGAAAACCCAACTCCAGCAACGCTAACCTTCAATATGGAAGTTGGAAAATGCCCAGCTCAAGCCTACTCTAGCAATTCTGTGCCGTTTAAAAGGGAGAGAGATGAATTGAGAGGCACTTAAGTCCAGAGGCACAGGCAATAAAGATTGAGACCTATCATGGGACTACAGAATGCTTCTCTTCTCCACAACTTACCATATTAATAAAGGCCTATATACAGCAGTTCCCTATGTACACCACACCATGTCTAGCTGTCAAGAGACAATTACAAGGCATATTAAAGACAAAAAAACACAGTATGAAGAGACAGAACCTCACTCGGGTATGGCAAGGATGTTGAAATTGTCAGATTGAGAATCTAAAGCAACTATAATTCATATCCTAAGGGCTCTAATGAATAAAGTAGAGAGCATACAAGAACAGATGGGCAACATGAATAGACTGATGGAAATTCTAAGAAAAAGCAATAAGAAATGCTAGATACCAAAAGCACTCTTACAGATATAAAGAGTGTCTTTGATGGGCTTATTAGCAGACAGGATACAGATGAGGAAAGAATCTCTGAGCCTGAGAATAGCACAATAAAAATCTACCAAACTGAAAAGCTCATAGAAAAAATATCGAAAAAAATAGAATGGAACTATGCGACAACTACAAAAGGGGTAAATACACATGGTAGGAATATAGGAAGGGGAAGACAGGAGCAGAAGAAATATTTAAAACAATAATGATTGATAACTTTCCCCCAAGTTAAAGTCATATAACAGACCACAGATCCAAAAAACTCAAAGAATATCAATCAGTATAAATGCAAAAAAAAAAAAATACACCTAGGCATATCATGTTCAAACTATAGACAATCAAAGATAAGTTCTAAAAGAAGCCAAAGCGGGTCAAGGGGAAATCACGTTTATTAAGTCGTTGTTGACAGAAAGAACCAAGAATTCTGTACCTGGTGAAATTATCTTTCAAAAGTGAAAGAGAAATAAAGGCTTTATCCGGGCCAGGCACAGTGGCTTACACCTGTGATCCCAGCACTTTGGGAGGCCAAGGCAGACAGATCACTTGAGGGCTGGACAGGAGATCAAGACACACCTGAACAACATAGCAAAACCCCCTCGTTACTAAAAACACAAAAATTAGCCAGGCATGGGGATGCACACCTGTAATCCCAGCTACTCAAGTGGCTGAGGCATGAGAATCACTTGAACCCCAGAGGCAGAGGTTGCAGTGAGCCGAGATTATGCCACTGCACTCCAGCCTGGGTGACACAGCAAGACTTTGTCTCAGAAAAAAAAAAAAAGTTTCATGACTTTATGAGGGAGATACAAAACCTGGAAAAAAAGAAAAAACTTTTTTTAACTTAAATTTTTATTACACAAAGGTTGTCACATAATTGGATATTTCTCTACTTTGAACACAATTATTCTCACTCTCCACAGAAAGGCTGCTTAACTTCTCATCTGGTGGTGGCAAGCACTAAAATCCTGATTTTAACAGAATAGTAGC